GGTCCTCTATTCTCTGGTGATCAGAAATCTGATGCAGGACCTTCACTGCGACAATGGATCCATCTACTAGGACCCCTCTATAGACGGCACCGAATCCTCCTGAGCCCAACTTGTTAGAGTAGTTGTTAGTTGCAAGCATTAGCTGATGTGAGGTGAATCTGATTGGCTTGTCTTTTTCAATATCATTCAGGAACTTATCCACTGTGTGAGCCAAAAACTCTGCATTCGCACTATTCGGTCTTATGGCCACTTCTGTATCTCCGCGCTCTCCGTCCTTGCGAGTTTTAAGAATCACCAGGGCAATCTTTATCATGAAAAAACCCACAACTACAATAGGTAAAATTCAATCAGAACACTTGCCATCATAAAAGACAGAGTCTTTTTGTCCAAAAACATAAAACATAAAAACATATAGCTTGTTTGAGTTTATGTTTTAAATTTTTTTTGTTTTAAATGATGAAAAATAAAAAAAATTTTGAAAATGTATTTCATTTTTTATAAAAAAAATTAAAATTTGTTCTAATAAAAAATAGAACTTCTTTTCTATGTTCGATCGATCATCTTTCGTTTTACAAAATTAAAGAAGGGGCCAAGAACTTCATTATTAAAAAATTAATAAAGTATATTATTCTTTTTTTACCCTTCATTTTTACATTTTAGAATTTTTTTAGGTTAAAGGGAAATTATATTTTTCTCTAAAAGTTTTCTGTCAAGTGTAAGTGTGTAACTCATATCTTAATTTTCAATTGGCGCAAGAATGATCCAATAACTTATTATAATAAAAAATTAAAAAAACTGGATTGAATTATGTTAAATACTTTTAAGTTAAAATCTATATGTTGCCCATGACATATCTGAAAAAGTCTATATTTGCTTATGTAGTTACGGTTAAGTTTATGCAAGCCAAGACTTGCTTGTGGTCACCTGTTTAGGACTTGTTTATGAGCAAAATGATAAAAGGTTCAAACTTTGCATCAAAGTAACCTTGGGTAAGATATTCTGTCAAAATTTAGAAATACGAACCATTCTTTTAATATTAATAACAAATTGCTGGATGTTTCTTTTGATTTCAACATTAATAACCCAAGAATGTAATATCGTGCAAACCCAAAGTTTGAAACACTAATTGCTCCAACCACAACTTTTTCAAGCAAAATTGACCTTTAATCCTGGTTAGAATTTTTCAGTTAACAGTTAACATCAGTCAAATGTTACTTTGATTTTTAAATTTTTGGAGTAATACTGCACCAATTAAAAGTTAAAAATATTAGTTGTACTTGAGGAAAAACTTCAAAAGCAAATTTTCCTTTTGACCCTTAATTTTTTTTTTTTCAAATTCCACACAACTTTCCTCAATATATTATTAATAAAAAAATCAGGCGGTAATGATAATTCTTTTATTTTTTAAAAAAAACAAAGAAGTCTCTTAACTCTTAATTACCTGAGCTGATGATGATAGGGATTGTCGATCCAGACGTGGTAGCTATTATAATAACGCCAACAATCACTACAACACGAATCAATGATTCTGTCAACTATAATCTCTTATTGTTGGAAAGTGAGGAGTTTCCAACTTCTAATTTCACCTTTGCAAAACTTAATAAATCTTACCTGCGCATAAGCAAATTAATCTCAGAATGACAAATCTGGGTTGACTCATCATCAACTCCGATTCCTCATTCTGAGTGAAAGATCCAGATTCAATCTCCCCCATATACGAAGAACTTCACCAAAATGAGAATCCAATTAGTTTCAAAAACCATACAGACAAATGTTATGCTCGTCCATAAACTTGTTTAAGGGCAAAGCTAAAACCTGGATTGAATCCGAAGAATGTCTTCTCAGTCAAGAACATAAAACAAGAAGCAAATCACAATATCATATATAGAGCACTGAAACATGAATGAATAGTTAAGATGATACATACAGATAAGAAATTTCTGGCCATTGATTTATTATTGCTTTGGTAAATATAAGTCAAAGTTTGAAATAGTCCGGCAACAGAGATAAGATTAAGACAGCTTTGTCGACTGCGATGTCGATCATCTAATCTTTAGCTTAGACTATAGCTCTTGAAACAAATTATGCATGAAAAACAAATTTTGCTCATAATTAAAACTAATTTTCTTCATATATAGTCGCCGCCAGAAAATTTTCAAAAGAAAAATTTAGAATTTTTTTAAAACAAAAAAGGATTACATGTGGAAATTAAATACAGATATATGGGTTCAGCGGTTCAGGAGTTCTGTATTGTTCACCCCATCGCACCTGTTTACAAGAATGATTGCCTCAAGTTGATTGTAGAAAATCAAATATGTACTTAACTTTGATTTTAAATGATCAAGAAAAAAAAAAAGGATCATGGCGAATTAAACGCATGTAACTGAATTTTCTTCTCTGTTATATTCGTGGGAGCACAAGATGAGCAGATTTTTTTATTATTATTATGTTTTTAATATTTATTTTAATAGGTTTATGATCTCAAATAAAAATAATTTTTCTAATCAAAAATAAAATAAAAATACTTTTTAACTGACACATTTTCAAACAAAAATTATGATTTAAAAATAAAAAATTTAAAATTTAACCTGTTCAGATAAATTTTAAACGATCCAGATCTATATGTGCCCATCACTGATTCACTGAATTATTGAATTATGATGCGCATCCGATGTCAACCCCCCATCCCAAAATTCTCAGCTGAGAAGAAAACTAACGACTGAATTTTCCAGTTACCGTTAAGACAATTTTTTCCAATATTTTTTTATACCAATTTTTTCCAATCTTTTTTTTTTAACCATTTTTTCCCAAACCTCGTGCATATCAAAGCATGAGAAGTACCATGGTTATCTCTAAAAGCAGATTGAATCACTAACGTGATGAAAATCTTTGCAAGGTTTGAAGATTGAACTGTGTAAGATTCATGAACCTTTACGCACCCGCACGCACACACACGAGATCTATTGCTTTATTAAAAGAAAAAGATTTTAAAATAAATTAATAAAACCCAATTTTCCAATTTGACTACTGATGGTATTGATAAATATGTCAAAAATATATACATCCGGGGTTGGACAAGAAGGTCAAAAAGCAAATAATATGAGGACAAATGTCCCCCCTCCCGACATCGGTTCGAAATATAAATATTTTTTTAACTAATATTGATCCAAACTTTAATTAGTAATTTAATAATTGTAGAATTTTTATCCCATTTTACTTATTATATTTATTAACATAAATTTTTGTCTGAATTTATTACATTATTCTTATTCATCATTGGTAATTAAAATTAAAAGTAAAAAAGAAAAAAAATCCTCCTTAGTGGAAACTTAACTCACACACTAAAAGAAAATACTAGGAAGCTTTTGTCTACTTATACTAAAAGATGAATATAATATAATATTGAGAAAATTTTTGGGAGAATTACATACAAATCCCACACAATATATTTAAATACCACAAGATCTATTGACAACCTAAAAAAAAAAGACTACACATTTAATTATCATTTTTCTTTACTTAATTGTCAATGAACCTTATAATATTTAATTGTATTGTGTGTGGGACCTTAAAGTAATTCTTCCAAAATTTATTTATAAGTCTTTATTATTTTTTCTTAGAAAAAAAAGCATAAGTTTTTCTTAGGGGAAAAAAAACATATCTACGATCCTTATAGTTTGGTTTAATTTGTAATCAAGTGTCTATAGTTTTATTTATTAAAATTAGTCCCTTAAACTTTCACTTGTTAAAGCCAGTTAGCCCTTGACCTGTTAATGTTATATGATATGCTGATGATTATGCACACAATTGGATTGGAGTCCCTCATACATGTCTTCTTCTTCTTTCCTCTTTTTCTCCCCTTTCTTAATCCAACATGACTCCTCATATATGTCTTCTTCTTCTTTCCTCTTCTTCTCCCCTTTCTTTTCCTTTTCTCTCCCTTTTTCTCCTTGCTTGCTCGGCCGGTAATTCAGGCGAGTCGGGCTTATTTAGATCAGACTTAAAGTATCTTACTTTCTTAAAAAAGCTCATTTGGTCAAGTCCAATCTTAACTTTTTTTAGTCAGGTTCGGGCTAGCTCATTGAATTTGATTAAAATTACCAACTCTATATATATAGAGAACTAAAAATTATAAAGGTCAAGCTTATTCGAATCGGACTTAATTTAGGCTTGACTTATTTAGATCAGACTTGAAGTATCATACTCTCTTAAAAAAGTTTATATAACCAAGTTCGGTCTTAACTTTTTTCAAGCTGATTCAGGCTAGCCCATCGAGTTTGGCTCGAATTACCGACTCTACTACACCACCCCATCTATAACACTCAATCCTCATCGTCTCCATCTCCTTCTTCCGCCTCCAACTTCCTTTTCTTCATTGACTTCTATTCTCTCCACCTTCCACAAAACTATCCTAACCATTCTTTCTATTCTCTCCTTATCTTCCTCCATCCTACAATCTATTGTCAACTCAAAAATAAAAATATCTTAAGGCCATTTTTCTTTTCTTTTCTTCTTTTTTCAAACACACTACACTTGACTATTAAAAACTATCATTATTGGCCATTTTTAATTACTAATGACCACCATTATCACTTGATTTTTAACTCTAAGATTATTTTTAAATTAACATAGTCAAACACATTTCCTTTTAAAATGAGGCTACAATGGTTTTTTTTTTTCTTTGGGAAAAAAGTCTGAACTTTTACCTGAGCTGACAATAATGGTGATTAGTCTTTACCTGGATGTGATAGCTATTATAAAAACACCAACAATTACTACAATATGAATCAATGATTCCATCAACTATTTATTATTGTTGAAAAATGAGAACTAATTATAAAAACATTATTAATGGGAACTTACCAATTACGCATAAGAAAATTCCTAATTCTTCCAATAAAAGATGATTTATCGGGATTTCGCTTTGTATAAAATAAATAGTTTTCAAAGAGTCACATCAATTTATTTGATTATATGACAAAGTCGGTATAACATTTTATTTTTATTGTAGTTCAACAGCAAAACAACTTTAAAATATTATACATCCAACATGATCAAATTAGTTATTGTAGAATAAGATTTTCAACAACTAATATACTCTTAACCATGGGAAGAATCCGAATAAAGGGAAGATGTATTTCCATCTAAAGCGTTTATTTCGATCTCACACTTTCTCATGATAGGGGCTGTACCATCAATTTGAGACTTTGTTACTTCAAGAGACCAGCTTGAATCAACTGAATCATCCATTAAGTGTTGAAAAGGGTTTGAAGGGCATTCAGGAATATCTATCAAACCCTCCAACATTTTCACCACATCACTCATCATGGGTCTTAAATCAGATTTATACTGAACACACCAAAGAGCTATCTTAATCATTCTTTCTGCCATCTCCTTATCCTTCTCCTCTATCCCACATAATGCTATCAACTCTTTTAGTTTCCCACACTCAAAGTTTATCCAAACTAGTTTTGGAAACCATTGTTCACTCTCTGTGACTTTCTTATCAACATTCCTTCTCCTACTTATGATTTCAAATAACAGCATTCCAAAACTATAAATATCGCATTTGTGGGTTATAGGAAATGGCATCCAAAGCTCTGGTGCAGCATAACCAGGTGTCCCTCTCAATCCTGTCACTGTAATGTGAGATTTTTCCCTGTTATAAAGCTTGGCTAAACCAAAATCAGCAACCTTAGGACAGAAATTTTGATCTAATAGGATGTTTTCTGGCTTTATGTCATAATGGATGATTCTTTGTTGGCATTCTTCATGCAAGTAAGCAATACCTTTAGCTGTTCCAACTGCAATCTCATGGAGCTTTTCAAATGCCAAGAGACTTTTTTCGCCAAGCAAATACTTGTCAAGAGAGCCATTACTCATGTACTCATAAACCAGAGCCCTCATATTCTTTTCAAAGCAAAATCCAAAGAGACGAACTAGATTGAAATGATGAACTCTTCCAATTGTACCCACTTCTGCCATGAACTGTTCCTCTATTCTCTTGTTTGAAATGGCATGCAGAACTTTCACTGCCACAATGGTTCCATCATTAAGAGCTCCTTTATAAACTGCTCCAAATCCTCCTGATCCCAGAATGTTGTTGTAGTTGTTAGTTGCAAGCATGAGATGTTTTGAGCTGAACCTGATTGGCTTCTCTTTTTCAATATCATTCAGAAATCTATCCACCCTATATGTTACAAACTGTGTGTTTATTGCACTATCTCCTTCATCTGCAACTTGTGCAGGATTATTTCTCCTTTGGTGCTTATATTTTTTAATAAGAACCCAACTGATAACTATTATTATGGTACTTGCTGCAGCTGCAGATTAAGGTACAAGACAAATGATTCAGTCTATAAAATTCTTGCAATCTCTTAAATTAAAAACTTGGTCAAATTGTTGTATGATTTCTTAACCAGATTCTAAATCTTACTTGTGCCGACGAGGATAGAGATTATTGGCGGTACACGGAAGGATGGGTTAGCTGTTAATATGGTAACAATCACAGCTACAATACAACAAAGATATAATTGATTCAGTCAAAATTCATGCCACCACTAAACTTAAAAGTGCGTTTTGTTTGTATGTGCTATATATATATATATGTGTGTGTGTGTAAAATTGACGTCGCTTCTTATAATTTTCATTTATTTTAATTCAATCAGTTTCATTAAAATATTTTGTATCCTTTCATTGACTGTTCAAATTAAAAAATAATTAACCCAAATTTTATTTTATTTTACTTTTGGAATTTTGGAATTTTTTATTTTAATTGGAGTATAATATATAATAAAATTAATCTTTTAACTGTCAATCTTTATTATAATAGTAAGGAAAAATCACTGTGAAATCCCTACAACCATTCAAAATATCTAAAGGTCTTATCAAATCTAAAAATAGCGGTCCCTAAGGACTTAGAAGTAAATAAGATTAAAATAATAATTACCAAAATACTCAAGTTATGAGATACCTTATTGATAAATTGACAATAGCCATTCATCACAAGACAAAATTTGTAGACAAGTGAGGCATTTGCCAATGATAAAGTAAAAATTTATTAGGTGAATGATGGATGCCTCATTTGCTAATGGCATTTGCCCTATGATAAATGGTTATTGCCAAGTTATTAATAAAGCATCTTATAACGTGGGCACTTTGATAATTATCATTTCAATCTTATTCACCTCTAAGTCTTCAAGGATGTGATAGCCACTTAGGGGTTTCATTGGACTTTTTGGTATTTCGAATGATTGTGAGGTTTCATGGTAATTTTCCCAAATAATAATGTTTTTCATTGAAAATAAAAACTAAAATTTTAAACTGCCCACGTTAAAGCTTCATGATTCAATAATTTTTCTCAAATATAAATCATCCTTCCAAGTAATGTTTTTAGAATTGAATCAGATATTGAACTGAAAAGTTTAGCGGTTCATGATTCGTATGGTCAAACCGAGTTGGATCAAAGCTACATGATATAATATAACATCAAATGATTAAAAAAATTGATCATTTTCTAAAAAAAATGACAAAAAAATAAAAAAGAGGCATTTTTTGAACAATTCAATTTTTGAAAACTAAAACCAATTTCTGACTTGATTTAGATTCCTAGTCCAATCATTAGTTTAAAGCGGCCCAATCTACCCAACTCTCCAAACAATTTTTTTGGCTTGACTGAACTATTAGCTTAATTAATTAATAGTTCAGTTTGATTTTTAAATCACTGCTTTTAAAGTGTAACACTATATAGGATCGCAAAATCAATAACATGTTATCGAGCAGCATCATCATATCATTAAAAAGTAAGGAAGACTAATAGTAATTTAACCCTTAAAAAGATCTGAATCTTACCTGAGGTGATAGTGCCAATGATTATTCGTTTCTTTAAAGATGACATGATGGTTGAGTTGCCCCAAAATATGAAACTTCACCAAAGCAAAAGGAAAAAAATACAATCTTTAGTCCTTATAATTTTATTAAATTTTATTTTTAATTTTTATAATTTTTTTAATATTTTTAATTTTTATAATTTTAAAAAGATTGAGTGACCTTTATTTTTCGGGTCTCTATAGTTTCTATTTTTTAATAGTTTTAGTCCCTATAAAAACTAAAAATACTGAAAAAAAAGCTATAGAAATTAAAAATAAAATCCAATAAAACTATAAGAACCAAAGATTATGTTTTTTTCAAGTAAAAAAAAAAGAACAAAATCAATCAATTCCAAATCCATATATACATGGTAAGATACAAAGATGTTTAATAATTACATTGAACTTAAAACTTACAATTAAGACACAAACATAATTTTCCCTTAATTTCTTAAAATTAAACTTAAACTAAAAAATCCATATTTCTCAAAATTAAGGGAAATCAAATTTCTCTTGAGGTGGAAAGCATGAGGAAAACGCAACAAAAAGCCAAAAAAGACACAAATATTGAGAAACAAACAAGAAGAAATTAGCAAAAAGACAGTTCTAAATATCCTACCTATGAAGATACCAGTAGCAGCAGCCGCAGAAAAATACAGAGCAGGAGGAAAGAATTCAGAAATGGCTCTAACATGGAATGTTTTAAAGTGATGATGCAGATAAGTAATTGCAGTTTCATTGTACTCTGTTAATTAGAAGTCCAAGATTGAATAATTCAGCAAAGCAGAAATTATTGTATATAACATGTCATTGTCTAAGATTGCTACGTATTATGTCACACCATAGAAACTCGTGTTATGTAAGTACGCTCAAAATCAATTTTTAATATCATAAGCAAATGCTTGAGAAAGTTCTGCCTTATCATGATAAATAAGTCAGCTGTCATTTGATTGGTCTTTCAATTCTCTCAGTAAACTAAGCTTAGGAAGCTAGAAATATTGTATTAGGTGTAAGTTTGTTGATTCTTAGAATTATGCAATGTGAATGTGGGAAAAAGTTTTATTGTTTAATTAAGCTAAACTTCTGCCAATACTTGTCCAGGTCATAAGAAGGGACGGATCTACTTGATAGTTAGAGGGGGCAAATGCCCCCACAAGGAAAGAAAAATATTTATATAAAATGACCCAAAAAATTTCTTTAACCCCAGAAAAATTTTTCAACTGCCCCCTGTTAAAGGAAAAAATTATTTGCCTCCTTGAAAGTTTCACTTATCTTCCTACAAATTTATTTAACTCAAATCTAACATAGAGTACATGTTATAATTTCAAATAAGGATATAGTTTGAGAAAGAAGGAATAGTAATTTTAAAAATAATTTTTATTTTTTAAAATAAAAAATTTATCACAAAAAATCCTCTACTACACAAAAGTGGTTAAATTTTATTTATATTAGACAGTTTTATTTAATACACCATTATAATTTTATGCTTTATGCCTTATTCTCTAATAATTATTTAACAAATTTTTGCCTCTAATTTAATTTAAAAAATATTTAAAATTATATTTTAAAAAAATAATATTTGTATTGAGTATAATTTTTGCCCCGACTACTCAATTTTTCTAGGTCCCTCATTGATCATAAGAAAGATGATATAAATGTGATGCATAGAGCCACCTGTTCACCAAAGCAGAGATTTTAATCATAGAGCCACCACCAGACTACATGATTCAGATGAGCCATGACTTATCTAATGATCTTCCAGACCCATTTGTTTTACTGTTGGATTTTTGCTTTTTTGGGTACTAAAAAGAAGTCACTCACAAGCTTTAATAATTTCTCAATGACAGCTTGGTGCAGCCAATGATTGGCAGAACACAGAGCATGATTAAAGACTTATCTGCTTTTTACCTTTCAATAAGAACTTCATAATTTTATTGAATCATTTTTAACACGTAAAATTAGTTCACGAACTTAGTGGATTGTATTGGAGAGATAATGTCCTTTAAATATCTCCTGCTATATGGATATTTCAAGACCAAAATTATGTTCCAGTGAATTTTTTAGAGTTTCTTGTGTTGCTTGGAGTCCAATTTTTGGCCACACTGTTTCTCACAGCTCTCTTCAAACTTATTCTACTTGCATACATATATGCATGCAAATGCTATTGCTTGTTCTTCACATTTCATTACCTAATTCGCATGATAGCCGCTGTTGAGGAATTATTTCACTACCTAGAATCAGGATCACATTTGATATTGCTATTCTAGTCCAATAAATGAATTCATCAAAGTTTCCTTTACCCCAGAAAGTTTGGACTGGATAAACATAAAGATTTTACAGATGAAAAGACAAATAACCCTAACAGAATCAAATCACTTGGAAATAACATCCCATTAACCCAAGCTTGAGGCTATTGCAATCTCATACTTTCTCATGATAGGAGTAGCATCCCAAGTGCCAGAACCAAAATTAAGATTAGCTACTACTGCTTGACTTGTATCCATCAAATGCTGAAACGGGTTCAAAGGTTCTGGGATTTCCATTGAACCCTCCAACATTTTTACCACATTACTCATAAGAGGTCTTGATTCAGGTTTATATTGAACACACCAAAGAGCTATTCTAACTATTCTTTCTGCTCTCTCCTTATCTTTTTCCTCCATCCCACAATCCATTGTCATCAACTCCTTTATTTCCCCATAATCTCATCTTTTCCAAACCCACTTAGGGAACCACTCTTGACTTTCTGGAAGGTTGATATCAAGGTTTCTTCTCCTCCCAATGTTCCCATGAATTTTTTAGAGTTTGACGTGCTTATACTCCAATTTTGCTATACTCCATCTAAAACTAGGAAATGACCCCTAACAGAATCAAATTACTAGGAAATATCATCCCATTAACCAGTGCTTGAGGCTATTGCAATATCATACTTTCTCATGATAGGAGTAGCATGCGAAGTGCCAGAACTAAAATTAGAACCCTCCAACATGTTTACCACGTTACTCATAAGAGGTCTTGATTCAGGTTTATGCTGAACACACCACAAAGCTATCCTCACCATTCTTTCTGCTCTCTCCTTGTCTTTTTCTCCTATCCTACAATCCACGGTCAACTCCTTTAGTTCTCCGCAATCATATCTTTTCCAAACCCACCTAGGGAACCACTATTGACTTTCTGGAAGGTTGATGTCAAGGTTTCTTCTCCTCCCAATGATTTCAAACGACAACATTCCAAAACTATAAACATCACATTTGCGCGTGATAGGAAATGGCATCCAAAGGTCTGGTGCAGCGTAACCAGGAGTCCCTCTACCTCCTGTCATGGTAATATGGGTATTTTCTCTGTTACAAAGCTTAGCCAAACCAAAGTCAGCAACCTTAGGACAAAAGTTGCTGTCCAAGAGGATGTTTCCTGGTTTATGTCGTAATGGATGATTCTTTGTTGGCACTTCTCATGCATTTATGCAATGCCTCTGGCCGTTCCAACCGCAATCTCATGAAGCTTCTCAAATCCTAATGTCTTGTTTTCACAAAACAAATACTTGTCAAGAGATCCATTACTCATGTCCTCATAAACTAGAGCTCTCAGGTTCCCTTCAATGCAAAATCCAAAGAGGCGAACGAGATTGAAATGATGAAGTTTTCCGATTGTACCCACTTCTGCCATGAACTGTTCCTCTATTCTCTTGTCAGAAGTGCCATATAGGACCTTCACAGCCACGGTGGTTCCATCACTGAAGGTTCCCTTGTAGACTGCTCCGAAACCTCCTGACCTAAACATGGTGGAGTAATTGTTTGTCGCAAACATTAGATGTTTTGAGCTGAACCTGATTGGCTTCTCTCTCTCCATTTCATTTAGAAACTTGTCCATCGTGTATGTCAGAAACTCTCTGTCTGCAGTGACTGGTTTCACAGGATTGCTTTTATTTCGGCCAACACATTTTCTGCATACCAAAACTACAACTAATACTTTCACAAACATCACAACTGCAATGGGTGTAATGATTCAGTTAGAAATCCATGATTATTATGAATTTAAAATATGTAATCGAATTGCCAAATTTTGTTGAAATATATCTAATATTCATGATTTTTTTTTATTCAGTTTTACTTGCATAACAGCTATCACATGCGGAGCACCAAAAAATAAATTCAAATTGATTATCATTAGTCCCAAGGGATATCGAAATATAATTTTCACTAAATTAAAAGTAAAGAATTTCTTGGGCTAGCATAAACAAACACATCAGACTTCTCAGCCTCCCTGCTAATTAGACACCTATAATCTTTTTTGGTCATCAATCAAGTACAAAATACAAATACATCAATTGTCACAAGCTTCGAATGATTTGAGGCTGGCTTAATCAAGATATACAGATTAAGAACTATAATTAATACATTAGACTTCTGAAGTTCGTGGAAAAAGAAGTACAATAGGAGAAAATAGTAATTAATATTGTCTTGAAACTTTAAAATGACATATAATTATAAAAACAAAAAATTTCTTCGAAATGAATTGACATTTGTCAGTTAATAAAATTCAAGGACACGAAAAACTGAAGTAAAATGAAAACAAGAGCTCTGAATCATACAGAGGGCGACGATGATGATGGTCCTGATGCCTCTTCTCTTGCATCTCCTTGATTCGTGGTTGACATTGTTGAGGATATATACATACATACATACATACATATATATATATATCAATCAAGGAATTAGCCAGTGTTGTAGCGTGAACAAGTGAAGAAGGGGGTGAAACGCAATTATGTAATTTACATGCAAATTTTGATGCAGATCACAGATAGAATATCTGGTGAATAGTCTCTTTTCTTTAAGTTCGATCTGAAGAAGAATGGTGTTTGGACACATTTGCTTAATTGACGATTAGTCCACCGTGAGATACGGACTTTTACGTTTTTTCATACCTCCGAGACTTTGAACAGTCCGCTTGATTTAGGCCCAAAATTAAAGGAAAGGATTACAAAATAGAAATAATGAGTTAGTAGACATTTTTCTTTTTTCTTTTTATTTTGGGTTCTGACAAAGATGAAAAATAACTCCGCCTATGTTTATAGCCGGTCCCAAGCCCGGGTAAAGGAGGAGGGTTGTGTTAGGCCATCAACAGCCAATGTAAAAATTTGTTGAATCTATCATGAATATGGACAATAGACGTTATAATGTTAATGCTAGGTCGTTGCCCGTAAGTAACGCGCTGCATGGCTCGAGTACAGTGATAAGTGAGTTAAAGCCGCTGCATCGGCGCCCGGATGTAGTGTTAAATGAGCAAGGGCTACCGCGTCATTCTGGACGCACGCGGCTAAAGAAGTTAGTCCATAAGAGCAAAATTAGATTTGATACTTGGAATGTTGGGACATTAAATTGTAAATCTGTAGAGGTTGTAGGGGTTATGATTCAAAGAAAATCAATATCCTTTGCTTGCAAGAAACAAAATGGCGTGGAGAAGAAGCTAAGGATATTCAAGGTTTCAAACTTTGATATACGAGAAAAGTAAGTGCACGCAATGGAATAGGCATCATTATAGATAAGGAGTGGAAGAAGAACGTTGTAGAAGTTAGTAGAATTGAGACAGAATTATTTCTTTAAAAATGATAATTGGACGTGAGACTGTTAATATTGTTAGCGCTTATGCACCGCAAGTCGGGACAGAAGCCAGTCTTAAGGAATTATTTTGGGAGGATCTGGAGGGGT